GATGAGGGCAAGCAGATACACTTTTGGTTGTTATCCTGATTCCTGATCTGATTTTAATAAAATCCAAGTTGAAATCGGCCCTTTATAACCTCCAAATTCTTTCTATTAATGATCTGGGATATCCGTTACTAAAGCAAATCCGTGTCAGTTTGTCCAACTCCTTGTCCCAGAACTCATTGTCCGTTAGTCGTAAGCTTCTAATGATCAATCTCCGCAGTGTTCCGATCTTCAGCCTGTAGTTATGATGAGACTGAAAAGTAAGGATTATTCCCGCATACTAATTCTTTCTGTATAGTTTCCTTATGAGTGTCCTTCTGGAGCGTGAACTTAAAAATCCAGAAAGGATAGTCGTTCATCCTTCTCCGCCTCCATTGTAAATTTAATTCTTTAATCAAGTTGATTAATGAAATTAAGGAATTAACTTAAATGTTCCTTGCCATGTGACCAAAATGCAAAGTGGTTATCCAAGTATTGCATGAGCACTCTTGGTTGTAGTGGTGACTTCTCGAATTTACTTTCCAACTTGTCCATGTATACATTTGCTAAAAGAGGTGAGAGTGGAGATCCCATCGGTAGTCCAAATATTTGCTCATAGATAATGCCGTTAAATGTGAAATATGCTGTCATAACTATCAGGTTGATTAGTCGTGTTAACGACTCCTTCCGTATTCGTTCTGCCTCCAGGATATCCTCTTCTCGCTCGAATATCTCCATTGAGGCGCTTATCGCCTTCTCACCTGAGATGTTTGTGTACACAGATTGTACATCGAAACTCACCAACTGTTCCGACCCTAACACCCCAATGTTCTGAATCCTTTGAGAAAATTCATATGAATTATTAACGGTATTCGAGAGTCTTTCATTTACTTTCTTGAGCTTTAATTAAATGAATTTCGCTAGTTTGTGTATTGCTCTTTGAATGTTGTTTACTATAAGTCTTAACAGATTTCCTTCCTTGTGTATCTTCGTTAGTCCGTAGGCTATCGGCTTCAAGTCACTCTGGATGAGAATACCATTTGAGGGGTAGGCTAAATGAACTGCAACGGCATCATGAAGCCTACTTCTGCTATTGTGGGAGTATTCATGACTCCATGCAACCTGGGGAGTCTAGAGTTCTTAGATGAGGTCCTATTTTGCTCTAGTATATTTATATTTTATTATTATTATTTGGCCAGTCATAAATCTATACGCTGGAGAAATGCTATAGATACATGGAAAACGTAAAATCACTAAATATCTATATTACTGTGATGAAAGACTAGTGAAATGAGCACATTTCTTTAATGCGCTAAATAGTGGCGACATGCTTACACTAGGCAAGCTAATTATTCATATTAAAAATTTTATCACAGTGGCTGCTTCTCAAAATTTCCAACTATCGGGCTTATGCCCGAAGGGTCTCAATGGATGAAAGTTAAACTAG